GCCTGGCACTTGATAAAAACCTGTTGAAAGTGTGCCGAGTGCAGCCTTGATTTATTAGTTTTCGGGGGCCGACGAAGAATATTTTAATTAAAATCTCTCATCTTGCGATCGACACAGACAGCCGTGCCGCCCCGTTCCGTCTCTGCTCCGCCCCTCTGCTGTCGTACTGTCGTGGTCGCCCGGAGGTAATATTGTAAGAGGCGAGCCGAAATATTGGCAGCAAATGCAGACACCTAATAAAAGTTTTGCGACAAGCAGCAAACTCAAGTGTAACGAAAACAAAAACAATAATTTTCGAGTTTATTTGAAGACGAGCCAGAGCCAGAGCCAGAGTCCTACCTGTGTCCTGGCCCAGTCAGTGGGAGTCAGTCAGTGGGACATTTGCAGTTTTCCTCCATTTGCAGTCCTTGTTGCTTTAGCTGTTGGAAAACTATTTGCCATCTCGACAATTTCTTGCACGTGCTGAGCATGGCAATGGCAAGTGTTTTTTTTTTCTATCTCTTAACCTCCCTGGGTGTGGCAGGAGGCGGCGCTGCAGTGGCCTGTGTCAGGTACAATATTTCAATAAAATACATTTACGCAACAGTAAAGCAGGTGGACGCAAACTTTCAATGATTTCATATTTGTCAATTCATTCAAATATCAAATACACTTTTGCCATTTTGCCAGTTTTCCCATTTTCTCGTTTTCCCATTTCGCCACTTGGCATTCTCGTCTGGCGGCCTTTTGCACTTTCAGCTCAGCTCGCTGCACAATTTTGGCAACAGCAATTAATAACAATTAATGGAGGCGCCGCGAAACCCCAACTAATTGTGTCTAATATATATGTAAAGATGGAAAACGCATGTGTTAGTCCCTGTGTGTGTGTGTGTGTGGCATGTCTGCCAGCCAACTACTTCTTGCACATTGTCGAATAATTTATGCCACAAGCGTAATTAAATTAATTAGGATTAACTTTGGCGGCGCACGCATTAAACTAGCTTTGATTAGCTTATGCTTCCACACATGCCGAAATCCATATATTTATGTCTAACTGCATGAGTGTGTGTGTGTGTGTGTGTGTGTGCGTGTGTGTGTGTGCGTGTGTGTGGCAGCTGTTTAATCTAAACGCTAGCTTTTGTCTGGGCCGCCTCGCTAATCATAAAGATGGCATAAGCGATGAGCTTGCCGCTCAAATTTATCGCAGCCTTCGCAGCTTTAACTCATAACTGTTTTCTTCCAGCCCTTGGGCATACACATGTACATACATGTATGTATGTATATGTGCTTTAATCTATATTGAAAGTGTTTTATTTAACATGTTGTCTGATCCCTTTTACAACATTTTCTTTCATACATATACACATTTGTATATTTTTTTATCATACATAGTTTTTTTCTTCATTTAATTGAGGTTTTATTTGGGCTTCAATAGGCAATGTAAATAAATGAATCAATTTAATTTTCATATCACTTCATTTAATACTTTATTGTATATTATATTTGAATGTTCTTGATTTTTGTATTGCATTTTGCATTATTATTATTTTATATTGTGACTCATTAAAAGCTTTTTTTTAACATATTTTTTTTAAGCTTATTTTTGTATACATTTTTTACTTTTTGCATTTTGAAAATCATTAAAGATTTTGTAATATAATTATTTCAATTTTTTTTAATGTTTTTTTTTTTTTTAAATTTTTATTTTTAATATATAAAAATATATATATTTTTAAATTTTACTTAATCAGTCTTTTATTACTGATTGACGAAGGGATACTCTTAAGGACTCATAATATGATACAGCTGATTTCAATCATCTTCACATATATCTGTATTAATTAACTTTTTATATTAATGGTAATATTTATATTGATATTAATATAAAAACTAATGGCAATGCTACTAGTGACTCAATGCGAATGCTCTCAGAGCTGTTCCTCGGTATTTCCACTCGAGTCTAAGTATTTCCATAAATTTGCAAATATGATTTAGTGGAGCCCCAGTCGAGCATCTCTCACAGCTATAAGACAGAGTGTCTCCCGCTTCCCCTCCTCTCGCTGTGTGTGTGTGTTCCTCTGATATATTGAGTTGAGCTAAGAATTTTTATTATACTCGCTCTCTCATCAGCGATTGAGTTAATTATCATTTGAATTGTGTGCTGGCCGGACGGACAATTGTTATTTGTTGCGCGGCGTCGAATGTGGCCAACGTCAAGATGTCCTTTTGTGGCTGCCCAGTGGCTGTCCTCTCTCTAATTTATGTTGCGAATAAATGTGTCGCAAATCATTATGCGGAACATTTTTCTACTTGCTTTTGTCATTGTTTTTTTGTCCTTGTTCTTGTTTTCTTGCAGTGTATGCGCAGAGTGTTGGGAACTTTATTTAATGGCTTGGAAATGGAAAAAATAAACAAAAAGCAACAACAAACAAAACAAGAAGAGCAGAGAAAACAGCCGCAAACCAAGACGGAAACAATGCCAGAGTCAGAGCCACAGTCATTGGAACTGGAGTTGAATTGGGAGCAGCAAGTGGAGCAGGTTCCACAATGATGGCCCATTGGGGCTGCTGTTGAACGGACCATCTAAATATAGACACAAATCACAAAAAACTCAGAAAGCGAAAGACGCAAGCTAGAGCTATTGTTCCCCTAGTTCTTGGTGCCTGTTGTTGTTGTTGTTGCTGTTATTGTGGTGGCTGGAAAAGGAGCATATTAAATCAAAAAGTGGTGCAACTGCGTCGCCTTGCTCGTGCAGCAAAAGTTGAGTGAAACCAAGGCACAGACATCGACCCAGGCACAGGCACAGGCACTGATAAGGATTAAAGGCAACGCGTCGATGGCAAGGACGATGCTGAGAACGTGAACGACGCGAACGTTTAACGCCTGCAGGATATTTATGATCATGAATTTTCTTATTGTACTCAGCTCTAGGCGCGGAGCTCGTGCCCTGTGCTCCAACTCTGGCCGAGCTTCAGCTTCAGCAACGGTTTCAGTTTCAGTTTAAGAAGTGCCGACTCCGCTTGTAAGCGATTTATTAAAATGTGCAGCAACACGAAAACTGAAAGGCGGCCAAAGGACAGCTGTCTGTGGCACGAGCATGGCATGAGCTCCGCACCACGCTCCACGCTCCACACTCCACAGTCAGCGTGCCGCCGCGTATGAAATGTGCGCCCATTTATTTATACACATCGCTGCGCCGCGCCCACCAATCGACAGAAATGAGTTATAAAACTTCAATAATCTCGGCGAAATGTTTATTTATGTTTAGCACGAGAGCCAGCTGAGCCAATTGGCGTGGCGTGGGCTCGTGGTGGGGGTGCGCCAAGCTCAAGGGTCTGGGTATGCAAAGGAGCGGGAAGACAAAGAAAGAGAAAAAGAGGGAGAGAGAGAGAGAGAGAGAGAGAGTGGAAGAGAACGCCTGGGGCCTGCCATTACAATATTTGCATCATGTAGGAGGCGATGTTGGGGCGCTGTACGGCGTGTGGGTGCTTGTGGGTGGTGCAAGGAGCACTTACAGCGAATCAATAACAAAATAAATCGTTTTACAACCGCAGGACATTGTATTGTGTTACACAAAAGATTGGCAATGCCACGCCAATGGCCCCACACAATCCTCCTCAGAGCCAAAGCGAAAGCGAAAGAAACGACAGCAGCAACAACAACAACAACAACAACGAGAACAACAACAACATCAAGAACACACAGCACAAGTACAGCAAACAATACCAGGCACTTGGCACAGCGAAAACAAGCAATGAAAGGATATTATAGTAAAAGTATTTACAAGATGAAAACGAACAAAGGCGAACGAATAGCACCTGGCCAGGACGCGCCAGGACGCGCTGCACCCAGGGCACAGGTAAGGCGAAAATATATAAAGTGAAAGGAAGTAGAAAGTATAAATCGTTGCAATCAATTTTTGCTATGCGGTACGAATTGCCCAAGCAGCTACCTCCTCCTGCTGCTGCTGCTTCTTCTGCTGCTGCTGTTGGTGTTGGTGCTGCTCGTGTTGCATCCGCAGAGCTTGGTTGCTGCGTTGCTGCAAGCCGATACGCCAGGTGAGCTGCCTGGGCGCTGCCTGTCGTGTGCAGAGCTTCGATCTGGGTTACCTACATAGCTCTTAAAGCGAGCTTGGTGTCTCCTCCTTTGATATCCTTCAGCTGATTGAATTGCAGCCAAAGGAGGGTATATCGATTGTGCAGATGGATGGGCAGCGTTTGTTAACTAACACTGAGAAGCAATCTCTTATGGCTTGGAATAGATTGATGTGCCACACTTGCTTACAGGGTAACCTAAAGTCGAGCAGTTGCCTTTCCAGAGAATCACTCTAGTTTACGATTTGTTTTTGGCACAAGTCTCTCTATTAGTGGGTGTGGCCTGTAAATGAAGCATCAGTTGAGTTCAGTTCAGCTCTCCCTCTCTCTCTCTCTCTCTAGCTTTTTCCCTCCCTCTGTCTTGCTCTGGTCATGCGATGCTTTATGGATTGGTGCACATTTAATATGCATTGCAGAGCGAATGGAAATGACTGCACTTGGAAAGTTCTTTGCGGTTGCAGCTCGTTAATTTAATGCTCATTATGTTTTGTTATTGTTCAACACTGGCTATGAACAGTACTAGATCTATCTCACTCAGTTAAGCATAGTCCACATATACGAAATTGCAGAGCAGCAAAGTGAGTCCATTTAGAGCCTATGCCCAATTATGAATTTATATACAGATGCCTCTTGGCTAATGGCCTTGCACGTTCCGTTATCTCTAAGCAATGCTACATATCTTTATTAATTGCTGCCAATTGGAATCTATTGCAGCTCAATCAGTGCGCGTATATTGACACCGTTATTGTTGATAAACGCCTTAAGTGCATAACCGATAGACCAAATTGATTGCGAACCTTGAAATCGAGCTGAAGATGCAGGGTGGAGGAGTAGGCAGATATGAAAATAAGTTCCCCATTAGCACTGAGAGTGGGGAGAGCTGCCTTAAGAATGTTAAAGTTTATTCAAGAACTCGATTATGCTCAGTAAGTTCTGTTTTATTACGATTGATGAATTGTATATGAAGTGGTAAGCTCTGAAAATTATATATGAGTAACTCCCGCCAAGGCTATCGCGACTGTTCTTGGACTAGACAAAATGCAGCTGACGTATGTGATAATCGCCAAAGTAGTCCTGAAATATCTGCAATGGATTGCCCTTGCGGCAGCCGTTCTCGCAATTGCAGCCGAAGATGTTGCACGGACCCTTGCCGCAGTAGGTGCCCCGCACGGCGGTGCCGTCATCGCAAATAGACATCGTGCATATGCCATTCTGCGACTGCTTGGCGTCGTATAGCCGGCAGTCATCTTCCCGATCGATCAACTGAAAGGCGATAGCTCTGGAGGGGCAGCAGACGCCGTCGGTGGGACGAAGCTGCTGCAGCAGTGTGCCCAGCCCCAGCCACAACAGGAGCCATTGGGGCAACGGGCTGAGGAACAACATGTTCTATTAAATTATTGAAAAATTTGCGAAGTAGTGTAAAGTGATTGTGTGTAGCTGCAATCGAAGGCAGATCTGAATTTATTTATTTATTTTTGTTATTCTCTGCTGTAACATTTTGAGTGGAAAATCGAATGTCGCTTAGATTGTGCACATCAAATATACATGCATATCTAATATTAAAGCATTTAATGGAAATGGAACTGTTAATAATCTTCCAGCCATTCCTCATTCCTCCTCTAAGCAGCTGCAGCCACCATAACCGATTAGGCCACGGAGCGCCGTCAAGCATATTATGGTAAGGTTACGTATACGCCGCATGGGCTTGCACTCGTGCTCAAAATGAAATTTATATGCAGGATAGAACAGGCAGAGAGATAGAGCAAGTGCGAGAGGGAAAGGGAGAGAGTGTGTGTGCGTGTGAGTGTGAGCGACACACTGTCGCTGTATTGGGCAAGTAAATATTTTATAATTTAATCAACATAAAAGCAACAATGGAGCCTGCACGACTGTCAGGAGGCGACGCGGCACTACGATACGCCTCTGTGGTTAAGCGTGGGGAGTGGCACAATAAAATTGGTAAAAGAAACGGGAAATGCCAAAAACGAATGTCAAATACGTTGCGCGATAATGTTTAATGATAAGCAGGCGAACGGGACGGGACGAGGCGAGGCGAGGCGGGGCGAGGCGAGTCGAGGCCAACTTGAAATACAGTCGGCAATAGTCAAAGATGTTTATCGTGCGACGAGTGTGCGACAATAAAAGCGAAGACAGCAGCCATGTGGCGAAGTATGGAGAGCGGGCGGTGGGGCGGCTGCCACTGACAAATGGACCATGGCTGACATGAAGGCAATCTGCCGGGGGTAGCGAGTGGGGAACGTGAGATCCCGTTGTGTCATCCAAACAATGGACAAGTTTATATTTGCATTTATTTCTATTAGGCGCACATTTGTCAAAAGCTGTTTATGTGCCTCGGGCCAAGATGAGATCTTGATCTGTTAGCCAACTCGTCGGGCCGACTTTAAGGATGTGCTTTAAGTAACTTACAGCCTGTGCCGCTGCCTCTGCCTCTGCCTTTGCAATAAAATATTTATTCGGTATTGTCGTGCACTTTTATTTGACATCATAAACAAAAGCCACGAAAGTGTAAACACAACTTGGCTCAACATGCGTTCGCATTTGGCAGGAGGTTGTTTGCACTCGTTTCTACTCTTTTTGTTGCTGTTGCTGTTGGTGTTGCTGTTGCCGTGTTGTTGACTTATTTAAGCCATAAAGTGCTCGCGCGCACACACGCACACTCGAATATTGACACGAGCACGTGTGGGTGTGCCAAATTTAACGCCCCCGTACGCACGTTCATAGACGGAGACAATAGCAATGGCAAAAAGCAAACAACTTCAACGCCAACCGCCAACAAATACTATAAAAACGTTGCAAAAGTAATACGACTTTTGAATACTCTTTGGGTGGCAGCTGATGTATGACTATAATTGGGGATTGATGGACTAGCAGGGCTCTGATGCATTGGAATGTGTATGTCAATTGTGGAGATTTAATTTTGTTAGAATAAAAGTTGTAGATTAGTAAAAGAAACTATTTTCGAGTATTTTAAAGTGGATCCAGAAGTCACTCTCCAGACATAGGGATTGCTTGATATTTAACTTCACATAAGTCAAATGGCTCTTGACGTCTTTATCCACATTCTTAAGCTGCAGTGCATAGCTGCCTCGCCAGAGTCTAGTCTCTCAAAGTATTTTGTTGCACACAAATTCTCGAATTCTGTCGTCAATTTTAATCTTTTTGAGGTCCAAATTTAAATTAAAAATAGTGCGAATATATAGTATATTGAGAAGTAGTTTAAGAAAGTAAGTCTTATAGTTCTCTATTTAATACGTCCTCAGTTTATAAATCTGAGGAAGCAGGTTTGTTACCTTGTCATCCCGTCTTCCCGTTTTTCATCATAGCCTCATAATTTTCAAGGACTGTAAATTGTTTTCCATTTGATTGGTCTCAAATATCTATTTATTTTAGCAAACCAATTTTATTTGATTCTCCATAAAACCAAACTAATGCAAGTGAAAGCCCAACTTTATATAAATATTGCCAACTAATTTATGGCTTATTTATTCCGGAACAAATCTTGCTACAAATTTACTATGCCCGTTTGCTTGGCCATTAAAAAAATACCGGCAGCAGTTCAAAATCGCATAAATTTTTGGTTATACAGACTCAAGTATGTGTGAGCGTGTGAGTGTGTGCTTGCCTGTGTGTGTGTGTGTGTGTATGTGATTGGGTTGTGTTGTTAGGTTTTGGCATTGCTCTTGACGTGTTTTGGATTTCATACTCCTGGGTTTGGTTGGGTTTCCTTTTGCTTTTCCCTTTTCGGTTTTCGGTTTTCGTTATTTCGTATACTTTGTGCTCTTGTTGTTGTTGTTGCGTTGCCAATAGATTCGTTGACCCCGTTGCCTACTTCTGGGCGAGCGTCTCTCTCTCTCTCTTTCTTGGCCAAGAGCCCGAGGCGCCACAAGTGGTCGCAGCATCGCTGCTATTTGGCATTCTGTGAATTTTCGTAGCGGATAATATTCATATCGTATACAAATTGGTGTGGAGCCAATGTTGACCAACTTGTGTGGCAGCTCATTATGCATCTCTGGAGGCGTGCGCATGGGGCGTGTCCCCGGCTTATATATATGTGTGTGCGCATGGCCATAGAGTATATCCACAACAATTTGTATTTATGTCCTTCTTATGCATTTTATGGCGTTGCTCAAGCAAAGGCTGCTCCTCAACCCATGCACACATGCCGCACGCAATCGCCCAGAGGCCGCCCCGCAGCGTATCGCTGCCTCACACCCCACCTCCATCTCCATCTCCAGCAGCAGTTTTTGTTTACGCTTAACGCTGATGCTGCTGCGGCTGCTACGGCTGCTGCGGCTGCTGTTGGCGCCCCTTGGACGGGCCACCTTCGTCGCTTACGTGCCACGCATATAAATTATTGTATCTCGGGCGTATTAAAAATGTACGAGTGCTCATCTTGTTATCCTGTTGTGTAAGCGGATTATGTCGGGCATAAATGTCATGCGTTGTGCGGCTGCTGAAACCACGGCACAGCCAAAGGCTCCTATCTTCTGTATCCGCCTCTTCTCGCACCGACGACGACCTTGCCGTGCCATGCCGTAACTTCTTGTCCTTTGCGCTCTCTCCTCTCTCTCTCTCTCTCTCTCTTTCCCTCTCTCTCGTTCCTTCCGCTCACTTTTTATACTCTAGTCTGAAGACAGGTTAACTGGGCTATTAGCAAATTTACCAAATATGAATTTATATGAGCCAAGTTTTCCCAAATTCAATTAATGCTTGAATATTGAATTCGTTGAATTGAATTTTGTTGCCAGTTTATAGGGCTGTCAGAGATATCCCATATATTAAATGTGGAGGAAATTGGTTAATATAGTTAGTTGATTATTCAATGACATTTATATAAAACGGAGAGAGTAAGATTAAATAAAATCTAGTTATATACTTGAAAGCTCTACCTTACTTCAGTGAGGGCATTCGTTATTCGGCTGCTGCATTCGCACATTGGCTCAATCGTATTTTTCCTTCGCTTTTGTGTGCCGCAGCGATTTGTGTGGAGCTGTTTTTCTGCCATTTCGTATTAAGCATTACGCAGCGTCATGCACGTGTCCTGCGTTCGCCACGCCCCACACGCCCCGCACACACCCCGCTCCACTGGCCATTGACAGCATTTTGATTTTACTTTTATTGAAATTTAAAACCGTCGCTCGCCGGCGACAATCGATGGCCGCCAATAGCACACAATTTGCACATAACTTGCGCTTAAAATCGTTAACCGATTTCGATGGGTGCCCGAGACAGAGAGAGAGAGAGAGAGAGAGTGAGAGAGAGTGGAGTGCGGGGTGGGGGCAGGCAATGGGACCACTGCAGTGCAGTCGTTAATGCCAGCTTCCGATTTCATTTCAGCATTTTGGGTCGAGTTTTGCGCGAATGCATGCAAATATTACTGAGTGGATTTTTCAGCGAGTCGAATGTTTGCATTAGCCCCGAAAATGTTATTGGATGCAGAGAATTGCAAACGTGGCAGCTGCAGCCGCTTATCGCGGCGGCCAATGTGGCAGCTGCTTTGTGGCCGGCACCAATATGAGTTAAAAGTAATGTCATTTGCTGATAGCCAAAGCCAAGTGGCCAGAGTAATCTCTTTATATCAATGTGAGCCCAAATAGAAACCAAATTACAATTGAAGTTTTGCATTGGTATACATAAATGGTTGGCCTATGGGAATACAATATCCAAGAGATAGATGAAGATAGCAGCAATAGGTGGGGAAATCAACTAATTATCGTGACTGCCAACAGGATGTCTTCCACTCAGTCACCTCACAAATATTCAATTAACGCACAGCTAACGAGAATATTATAATGCCAAATCGATAATTAGTTAGCATGCTTATATAAAAATAATTGGATCGAAATATTGTTTAATTGGCAATGCTGCGATAATTTCACATCAAATTGAAATGATGCTGATGCCTGCGCTTGTGGGTGTGGCATGGCTTCGTGGTTTGCTGATTGTGCCACATCAGATGTCGCACAAGTTGGCTGCACTTGTGATGAGCTCCCTGGGCTTGGCAAGATTTATGCGGCTGGCTGGCAGCGTAATAAGCGTCTTGCAAATGTGGCAAATGCGATGATCTAGCCAGATGCTGCAGCATTTTGCGGCAAGCCTTGCCAGTCCGGTTGGCCGGGCAATCTGTCAGTTGGCATCGCTCTGCCCCATTGCTAATGGAGAGTCGGGCCTGTTATGAGCTTACCGATATGGCCAAACACAAAGCCTTAACTGCCACACACAAGCACACACACACAAGCACACACACACACACACACACACATGTACACTTGGAGAAAATTATGATAATTCAATTGAATTTTCGACTATGACTGGCTAAGAGCTGGGATGCGTTAGGGGTTCAATATATAATTGGGCTTCAA